AAACACCTGAATTTTTTTCTATAAGTGAAATAATAAAGCAGTTCAGCATTTCTCACCCAGTAACCAAAGAGGCCTGTGCGTGTGTACGTCGCCTGGACGTCTCTGATGAAGGGGACGTGCTCCAGCTTGGAGAAGAAGAGCAGCAGCAGGCCCTGCATTCTTATGGACGACACCTGAAACGCACACAGCACAAACTGTGCACTCCTGACCCTGTGAAAGTGTGCATCCACTGTATTGCGTGTGTGGGAGTTTTCTAAGATTTTTTACCTTGATGTACTTCTGTGGCGCTAAAAGCGACATAAATAGATAACTCCACGGGTCATCGAACACAGCGTCTGACACAAACCTCAACGGGCCAGAGTACACTTCCTGCAGACTAACACACACACACACAACTCTGATTGTAAGTCGGCCCCTTATCCACTTATACAGATGCATTGTGCATCACATCACCTACCCAATGACGTAAAGGTCAGGGCTCTTTGGAGAGTTCAGGTGGAGAAGTGTGGTCACATCGTCTGGAGGATCAGCTGTAGCCACATTCCACGTTACCATGTGCAACCTGTGGGCACAGAAGAGGAAATTACAAACAGTCTGAAGTAAACAACTAGATCAGAGGTAGGCAACACCAAGCCTCAAGTGCCGGTGTCCTGCAGGTTTTAGATGTGTCCTTGATACAACACAGCTGATTCAAATTGCTAAATTACCTCCTCAACATGTCTTGAAGTTCTCCAGAGGCCTGGTAATAAAATCATAATTTGACCCAAGGTGATATTGAAAACCTGCAGGACACCGGCACTTGAGGCCTGGAGTTGCCTACCCCTGAACTAGATATCAGGTACAACATTCAACCTTTAAAACATACGAGACCATCTTAAATTGTGGCTTAATTTTTCCAGGTATGACAATCAGATGACCTGAATTATGACCTCAATAAACTCTTTCCTGGTCCCTTTTGGGTCTCAATAACAAATTTCAAATCTTCTTTAAGACAACACAATGTTTGTATATTATGCTCCCCATTAGAGTCACAGGAGCACTAAAGCATTATATACTTTGGGGCGAGACTGCATCCTAAAACATACCATGTAATTGACAGGTCACTACAATAAAACATGTGACACTAGATGATACAAACATGTGGCTTCAGCAGCTAAACACTCAGCTCAAGGCTTCACAGATGGGACTTGGGATGGCTGCGTCCATGATGTACACGCATTCAGCTGCAGCATATCATTTAAGCTTCACAATCAAAGGAGTCCTTTCAGCTTATCTCGAACCAAAGACGAGCCCGTAACACAGGTTTAAAAGCTGTCACAATAGCACCATTGTGCAATTACCGTAAGCAGGCCAGGCTGACGCAGTTGACACATAATCAGATCAGTCATCCTTGAACCCAAACTTGCAACATTCATAATATGGAATAATATTTTCACACTTAAGTGTAAGTAATAAAAGCATGTGAATTAAATTTAAAAGACTGAATTTTCTTGGATGGTTTCACTCAGCAAGGGTCTTGTGTTGGTCTCTGGTCACTGCCTGAAGCCAGACAACTACAGGTCATGTTGCAATGGGATCACGCCAGCCACAATGAGTTCTCAGTGTTGCTTTCTGCAATACTAAAATGTGTCCACAGTGAGACAAAAAAGTCCTCTCTGTTCAGAAGCATTAAAGGACAGCGAGGGAACACTCCTGAATTACAACATATGAGGATGTTTTGGTAGAAGATGTAGAAATATAAACACAAAAATCAAGTAATATTAATGATTTCTAATACTCTAATTGGTCACAAACTTATTAAGCAGTTTAAAAAACAACAACAACATATTTCACTTTGATGCTCTTCTCATATCCCAGATAAATCCCACAGAAATTTAGATAATTTAAAGTTAAATGCTCAGATAAATCCATGGAGGCATTTCAAAATGACTGCTGAGTTTCAATACAGCAGCTGTCTCTAAAACCACATTTTAGCAGACTGACGCACACAGGGAAAGACAAGGTAAGAACAATACAAGCTACACTACTGCAACAAGTACAAACTCATTCAAGTGATAAAATCTCCAGCTTCAAACATCAACCGAGGCGGCTGAGCAGTCAGCATCAGTCTCCACCTGAAGCTGTCCTTCTTCGGCTTGTTGGCTCTCTTGCCGCAGACGAGGAAGGCGTAATCCAGGGTCTTGACCACCTCCTCGTGCAGCTCGTTTTTGGGGTTCAAGTCCTCGACGCAGGTCATCAGCTGGTGAAGCCGATGGAGCAGGGCCAGTTTGCTGCCCGTCGACTGTGTGGAAACACTTTCCGTGCGTTTACGCTCTATGCTGCCCAACAGCCGAGTAATTTCATCCATCCTGGTCCAAAACTGCGAGGCCTGCTTGAGCCGGCTGTGGTCTCAATTGGTGATGGAAATGTTGGAAGTAACAAAATAGAAATGTAAAAAGGGAATCGAATGAGCCACAGTCCTCCTTCTGTAAAATCAAACCACTGAATGAAGTGGCATCTAAACCCCCGGCTCAGGGGTTTAGGTGCTCCAGAGTTTAACAGAGTGATTAGAGAATTGGTTCATTTGCCCACAATTTGTCTTTGTGTTCTGAAAACTGTTTATAATCTCATTATTAAATGTCTAAAGGTTAGTCCTATTAAACATTGGGAAATCAACTTGCATGGGTGATTGGAAACACGTCCCTTTTCATTCAGCAAGCCGTCAGGCACTCAGCTGTCCTTTCCTTGGGCAGAACACCAGCAACACATTGATTTTTTTCCCCCTCAAATCCGCATTTGGTATGTATTGTTGGGCAACCTAATCCACCTGCCAGAATGCAGTGACATTTGTTCACTGGCAAACAGCGGACTGTGTCTGGTCTTGGAGCACATTTAACCCAAATGGGACAAACATGCGTGCTTCTAGAAAAGGCTGAAAGTCCTGAGAGCAACACCAGGCAGCCAGAATATCACAAGCCTTACATTAGCTAATGTGGAAATGCATCACACAGTAAGAAAGGCAGGACAAACACAGCTCAGCAGGGAGGAAAGGAAAGGAATACGTCTTTTAACCAGCTTTACCACTAAATTTGGTGATGTCATGTTGGTGCAACAAAAGGAAAGCTCAACTGGCTAAAACAACACCACAACACACAAGACAGAAATGCCTTATCAGTGGAAACACCACAAAGAAGACATGTGGGAAAAGGGCTGGAGCTGAAGTACAATATAGTGAGAACAGCAAGAAAATGTTCTGTTGTTTCTTAATATAAATAAGCCAAGCGACTTGGGCACTGCAAGACTGAGTTCCTTTACAAAAAGTAGATCACTGCTGTTGCAGCACAACAGCATTTTCCTGCTTTCAAATTATTCAAGTTGAAAGGTGAAATATTTCTTCTCTATTTGTTTGTATTTGGATGTCTGATATCTAATGTTAAAGACTTTTCACCAAAACTGACTAAAAACCACAGGGCTAGAAAAATCAAGCAAGTAAGAAAAAACAAACAAACAAACAAACCACAAGTACTTCCTGTACTGAGACTTGAGTAAATCATACAGACCATTAATAAAAGATGGAAAATTCCACTAAAAATACACCACAGACATGATGGAGAGGTTTAGCGGAGTACATTAGCTGAGGTGAGATACTCCCTAACTTTAAGATCAATCAGCATAGCTGTGGACACCATGGACCCCACGTGTTGTTACATTTTCTAGAGAATTGTTGTTTAACTGTCCAGTTTACTTTGTATGGTTTCACATGGGTTTCCAGTTATGGTGTACAGTGCAAATTTACAGCTAAAGCATAAATTCCCAGTAAAGCTTAAACCATCCAAACAGCTGAATTACAATTACCTTTATTCCGTGAGTTGGTATGAATTGAGACATTAGCTTTTGAAGCCAGGAACTGGAGTTTATGTACCCGGCTTCATCTGTCTATATGCACCTCATCCGCGCTCTACTTTCAAGTCATACTGAATGCATGAATTTAATTTTCTAAATTACTGTCCACGCTTCACTTAACTAGACCCCTGATTTTTTTATTTTATTTTATTTTTAAAATATGCCGACTGTGACTTTAGGAGCTTTTTAAAAGGATTTTTTGATACGCAAGCCTGTACTCCATTATGTTGCGAGAACCTCTAATGTTTTATAACTGTGTTAATTTGCACTAGCGTATGTATAAGTGACTCACCCCAACACTTTATAAATTCAAATTAGCGGCAAAGCTTGCTAGTTACCTGATAACTTAAAGCCTTTTCTAATACAGTCACTTCTGCTAACACCTACCCGGTCACAGTGACTCTGTTCATCTTTCACATCCATGCACCAACCTGAAGCTTTCCTCCTTCTTCCCCCCGAGGTCTAACTGCTGACTTTCCAGTGGCTCTTCACTGTCCTCCATCGGGTCCACACCTGGCAGGCAAAGAGGCAAATTCAGTCAAATCAACTTCATTAAGCTCACGTCGCCACGAAATGAAAGGACAAACTAAAGTAAAAGTACAACTCTTATGCATAGTTGTTAGCTGACAATGCTAACTCACAAAGTTTTCATGTAAGGACTGAGGTTTAACTAACCTGAGTGGGGCACATTTTCCACCCCCAGCTTGTGCATATTCTTTTCTACCAAGTTTGTAGCATTTATTTACACCCAGCTAACATCTTGCAGCCATTCACTACCGTGGTGCTGCATCTGATAAACACAGCGCTAGCTACACTGCGCAGTTAGCGAAACCAAGCGTCTTGTTTTTTCACATTCAACAGCAACACTTTAATCAATAATTATGCCCGATAATGATTTATCGTACACTACCTTTTATGCGTTAGTAGTACTTGTGAATGTTGTTTTATCTTTCTGCAGGAAGCTGTACAGTACATCAATAATCCAGCCTGCGGGTTCACTAATACGGAAGTTGATTACTTTCAAAATAAAAGCACGAACAAGATAAGGCATAAGGACTTTGTTACAAGTAAGACACACGACTGGCACACAAAACCGGGAACATGCATGTTAATTGAGACTAGAAGTTGACTAGTTTAAAAGAAAAACGCTACAGTTAATTGTTTGTACACCAAATCTATTTCAATCTAAACTGCCAGTATATAATATAATCATGCGCGAGTAAAAATGTAAGTTTACTCAAAAAACAATTCTGCAAAGAACACAAATTAATAATGCTAAAAAAAATAACTGAATACTATTTCTGTTAAAGCATGAGGAATCAGACTCCTGACTTCAACAATATTAAATGCCAGTAATCAATACTTTTGACTTCTGCCAAGTATTTTAAAACTTAAAAAAAAAAAGTTTCAAAACGCACATGTGAATATTTTTTTCCAGGGCACTGACAGCCCATTTCCTTTTTTTGTGGCACCCAAATGTGTCACAGAAAATAAAGGTCAAAATCACAACAAATGTTATGAATTAATCTGGATATTGTATGATCTGCGTGGTCTAAAGACATTCAGCTATATCACAGAAAGGGTCTTTGGTGGGGTGGGGGGGTTGCTGAAGGTTTAAAAGATCACTGAGACACTTACAGCAGAGATACAAATACATATGTACAAATGCACAAAATGCAATGAACAATGTTATAACTCATTTATATCCAGGTTACTTCATTTCATTCAGTACATGGAAGACTTACAGACATCTGAACAATCATCAAGACAGAAGTGCCTGTAGTGTCAATTATTTTGAAATCTGCTTAGAGTTCAGGATCTTCTTGCACATTATCAGCAACACATCTTCAACACATAACAAATCATCAACCCAATGAAATACGAAACACCCCACCCCCACCCCACCCCACCAATATCTATCTGATTACAAGAAATCATTTGAGGCAGAGGAAGGTGGAGGATTATCCAGTCTGAGCCCTTTATGAAATCAAGAAATCTGGAGATTTTGAAAGCATTTATGTCCACTTATAGTTAAGACACAACAAGACAATTTATAGATAAGAAAAATATAAAATCTTATTAACACTGGAGATTTTGCAGTTGCAGGTACGTAAACAATAAGTCACTGAGAGGAGGAGAAGGGGAAAAAGAAAAAAAAAAAAGAGATTACAGTAATGTGGAATGTTGTTTCAGAGATAACCTGCACCGTCCCCCCCAGTGGTTTAAGATCTAATGACCAAAAGCATAAATAAGAATTCTCCCTCAACCTGCAACCCACTTCTTTAAAAGCACTAAAAGCTGCTGTACTTGTATTTCAGCATAGTACATAAATATACACAACAGCTTCACAACAATGAGATCTTATTAAGACAAGATTTTTTATTGGGACGTAAATCTTTTCTTGTTTATAGCAGTCCAGTTTCAGCGGCGCCAGTCAGGGAGTGGAGTCAAGTCTTGCAGTATCAAAATGAGCTGAAGAGGATAAGAGAACAAACACAATTAAAGAGCGATTGAACATTTATGTTCAGATTGAAAATTCTTCAGAGCACCAGTTAAATACTCACTGAGCTAGTCTTCAGCAGCCGTACTGCCTTTAACTGGATCTTTGACCCTCATCTGTGACATGGAGACACGTTATTTAGAAGGGTAGAAAACCGGATTAGTGCACTAAAGAAAGTGATGTGAAATACTGCTCAGCTCCCAGTTCTTGTTTTAGAAAGATCCTTCTTCACATTGACCCAAAATACTTTGATCTTATTACAGGCAAACACATAAACAGTGTTTAGGGCCGTTTCTGCTTTTATACCAACTGTTTTCAAGCAGAAACAAAGGGAGCAGCTCAACACCTGAACAGATCCTCCAGTGACATACACCATTGCAGCACATTGGAGCAGTGAGATCAAACTTAGATACTTCACTGCATATTGCAACTCACTGTTACCAGTCACCAAGAATTGATAACATGAGCAGTTGAACTGTTAATTTCATCAGATCGTTGATTTTACTGACAAAGACAACACAAACATGCTGCTGTAACACACCACAGTGAGCCAATGAGCTCTGTTTTCATGAACTAAAATTCAGATATTAAAACTGCCTTTTTTTTCTACATAAGAGATCTCAATAAATGTGAAGGGGAACAAAGAAATACTGCTCCACCCTCCAGCAGGTCTAATATACAGTCCTCAGTCACCTCATCAAGCTCCTTCTGCGTTTCCTCCTCCATACGTCGTATGTCATCCATCGTCAGATCAATCCATTTGTCTAACCAGCAGAACACCTGTCTGTGGAATTTGGTGAACAAACGCTTCTCTTGCTGAACAGAGGGGACGTGTGAAAGACAGTCAGGACACACTAGAATTTATTGTTTTTTGTGCAGAAATATGTGCATTAGGTTATATTTATTCTGCACTTTTTATTTCATACCTTCTGAATGAAGTTTTCTACTTTGTTCTGCAGTCCAAA